ATACGATATACATATTTATGCACATTTGTTGTGAAGTGTTATCGTCAGGGTGAGTGTTGTGTTGAGAAAGACTGTTGTTGGTGGCGACTGACAGTTTGGACAACCTGAGCTGGACTTAGTCATTTTCAAAGATTTTCTCTAGTTCAAGTCTTCCTTAAGAGTACACTCACCTGGATGATCACTGACTTCACAACAAGCATCAACGCCTGGGTTCAATGTTATGAAGCAAAATGTAGTATTTGTAGTATTCCGACGACAATACGATATGTTGGTTATATTGTTAGTCAACTTATTCATAACTTTGTTCTTAAAAAATAAATGATAGATAGTTTATTATCCTACAGATATTTATATTCCAGGCTATCCCGGAGTTCTTTCAGCTAGTTCTAGCATCAAACCATATAATCGTACATGTCATTTCTCATTCCAAATTGTCCACAAACCTTATTAATGCTTGATTATTAAGTAATTAATTCATACAAAACACGCTGATCTCGCAAATCTTTACATCTACATCYACATAATTTATTTGCAAAATCAAAAAGGACATCTAGCAAATTTCAGTGCAAGTGCAAGATAAATTAAATAAATAAATATGCGCAAATATGGTAATAATAATTGTGYTTATAATGATTAAATAATTAATAATCACTTAATATGTGGTTTTACCAATCATACAGCCCCCAGTCAACCCCATATCGGCAACCTTCCAGTTATACCTTAACCGGACAGGCCCCGACATGGGGCCAACCAGGCAGCTATACAATTTATAGGCAATGGAACACCACGCCCCCCCAGTCATGGAACAATCCAACCCGAAAAACCCCACAACTACCAAACCGGACTGGGTCTACTGCCTCGTCCAATTTAACAGCCACTGGAGTCTCCCATCCAACTATTCCCCAACCGGGCAGCATGGAGCTCCATTACCCATRCTAGTTAATAAAACTAGAACTTTAAGCAGACATATGATTACTTACAGCTGTTTTAAAATCACTTATTGAAGTCATGATTAAAGATTTAAAGATTTAATTTTAGATTAAATCTTTATTTTTTTAATGATTAAAGACAATCGTAAGTCGATCCTGAA